CCGTCAATGGCATTCGTTGCTCTATGGTCCTTTTTATGCATTCCTAGTCGCACGTCCCGTTCTTGTTCCAGTCGATGCTTAATGTCGCTGATTTGTCGCAAACGAAACCCATCCATGGTTTCGAGCGTTTGAGCCACTTCGTCCATGGCTGGATACAATCCCATCTCGAGTATAATATAAATTAGGAAATAAGCTTCAATTGGTCCTCCGACAATCTTTGATTAATATATTTATAGCTAATGAGGTTGAGATTGTCATATAAATATATTATAATGGGTTTTGCGGTATCTGAAGTATAAACAAGAACTCCCCCCCATGTTGGTCTCGGGAACTGTTCCTGGTTGTATATAAATATGACAACGTTGATGTTTATGTTCGTTACCCCAGCGTATGATTAACCCATCCAAAAGAATCATCTCATTTTGGGGGTCATTTCCATGATAGCATTCCATAATCAGTGTCGAATGTAATTTCATACTGAAATCTGTATTTAAAAAATCCAAGTGATATGCAGGAATTCGAAATATTAATGCGGTTTGTTTATTGGTGGGGGCTAACATAGAGCTCGTATGATGTGGTATTTGCAAAAGTTGTATCGAATGAGGTGCTGGAGTGGCAGTCATCCAAAGAATCCCTTTATTTTTTACTTCGATGACATAACCATGATCATCTAAACTTATGTAGGAGTAGATAAATATAATGTTAATAAGCCAGTCAACTCCTAGTATCACCTCTTGTCGTTTATACACGTTGTTTTGTAAAAGCTAGGCATATACCTTGCCTTCCGTACCGGGTTGATTGAATCCTTGCGTGTCCCCAAGATCAGAGGACGCGATGGTAGAGCGTAGACTCAGGTTTGAAACGTCACCCATGGTTATACTTGTATTATGCAATAGTCTACAATTGGTTCTTTGACAATTTCTCGTGCGTAAACTTTAAGCTGATGAGATGAATTTTTGGAGGCAAAAAAGTCTTCGTGAGCGCACCATCTTGAAAATATAAGTTTAGAAAATAATATTTAATTGGTTTTCCGTCAATCTTTGATTGATATTTTTGAGGCTGATAAAGTTTAGATCTTCATACAAGTAAATACTCGGGAGATGAATGGATGACTTTGTTTCAATAACACAAACCCCATCATTAGGCTTGCTAAGGGTGTCGATCCCGGTCGTATGATGATCCGGCAACGTCGGTGCTTGTGTGTGTCGTCCCAGCTTATTGACAGTCCATCCAAAAGTAATCCTCGCAACGGAAGCGTTTACGAGATAGACTTCTATTACAAGCGTGATGTGTAATTTGATGCAATTAATTGAATCAAAAAAAAACATAATGTTGGTAATCAGGTATGTCGTGCATTACAAAAATTGCATAATCGTTGACTGGAGCTAACATGTTGCCCGTGTGACCCGGTATTCGCAAAACTTGTATGGTATTATCTCTTGATGGACTAAAAGACGTGATAATGATCCCGTTGTTCATTATTTCGGAGACGTAATCATTTTTCAAGAACACGTGGGGCGAGGCGATGGTGATGTTGAGCAACCAGTTGGGCTCTTTGAAATCTGCCAGTGACACTCGCCCATACACGTTGTCTTTTAAGAGCAGGACGTACAAGGTATTTTCCTTGCCGGGCAGATCGAATGCCTCCGTGTCCCCGACATTGCCGAGCGTGACGTTGGGGTGGTTCATCGTATATATATGTTACGAAATAGTTTTCAATTGGTTTTCGGATATTTTCTCGGACATGCACTTCAAACCCATGAGATGTATGTTTTCCGGTAGGAAAATTTTAGTGAGCAATATTGTGTCTTCCATGGTCACAATGACTCCCTGCAGTCTCGTGTAGGCATTCACATTCACTCGCACGTAAACGGAGCAAATGTGGTATTGTTGTTGTGGGGTCCATCAGAGTTTGATTCCTTTCACGATTTGTCACGCGATGACGATTGGTTCGCCAAGGTAGACCTGGATGACCAGCATGGAATTCGCCGGCAGATTGTCCAGGATGTCGACCACACTGTCGAATTCCCGACACCATCTGCAAACCCACGTTTTGCATCCAGGGTTTACTTGATAGCGTGTGGGCTATTTTACGCGACAGTGGGCTGACGATCATGCTGCATCTTTGCATTGGGATGTAAGCCTCGAGCAGCGTTCCGTTGTTCAAGACTTTTGTTAGGTAGTGGTCTTTGTTTTCTATGAAAACGTGGGGAGAACCGAGTGTGATGTTGAGATTCCAGTCAATTTGATATGACACGAACACCCATTTGTTGTTGTCGGTGAAGACGAGAGTGTACTGTGTGTTTCGGGGTGATGACCGTGGTCTCGACGTCGTCCAGGTCGAACAGCTTGCCGCCGAACGTTGTGGATATCGTCCATACGTCGTCGTCGTTGTGGACTAGGTCGTACTGCGTGTTCCTGACCGCTCCTCCAGTATCAATGAAATCGCCTAGGGCGCTGCTACCGCCGTTGCCGAATCAACCAGAGGGCACTTCAACACGTTTGTAAATGTTGTATTTCAGTTGCAAGGCGTACAGTTTGCCATCGATTCCAGGCTCGTCGAATCCGCGCGTCTTCATTTTCTCAGTCGCATGGCTGTTCCGGGACCAGAAGCATTCATGATTTGATATGCAGCATTACACTTAGATATCCCATATACACCGGTTTATGTTTTATATCTAAAACGGATATTTTGAGTTCTGTGATCATGCCCTGCATTAACTTTTTGTACTGTAAGAATAGAAACGATTCCGTTCGACCGTCGTTGCACTTTCGTGTTTCACCACCACAGCTCTCCGCAGAGATAAAGGGCGTTCGCCTTGAATATTATCTGTCGTGCTTACCCGATCGAGATGAACGAACAGCTCGTGATAGACAATGAGGCTTGGTAATCTCGAACCCGTATTTCGTTCGTTGGCAACCCGAGAGTTCTCGACAAGGCTGTACCGAGTCTGATGGGTTTTTCCCCAGCCGTTAATGTCAGCATTCCATTCGACTCGTTTAGTTTGAGATTGGCTCCAATGGGTTTGAAAATCATTCAGCATACAAACGGTGTAATAACCGTCGGACAAATCGTGGCAATTTCCATCGATGGATAGCCTGTTGTTACCTTTATATTGATTGATATTCAAACATCGCGGGTAATACTTGAGATCACTGAGAGCAACTTCGAGTTCCCCCGACGTGTTATTGATCGTGTGAAGCAGTTGAATGGACCATTTGTTATTCTTGGGAGCGTGATGAACATGTTACATATACAGTGAGCCTCGGATATCCAGATATCTGGATTTCTGTCATCCAGGTTTACCATATATTACTGTCTATAAGCCGAATTCTGAAGATAAAAAAAAGCAGTGTGTAGAAGGGGGTCGGCTTATCTTCATGAGTTACGCTTTCGTCAAACTTTTTTCCAGGGGTAAGAAAACAACATCATATCACTTCGCGTGAACAAACAACAGAAGACAACTCTGTCAGTAAAGATGTCAAATTTGCAATTAAACATCACTAGACAAGATTATTTACCTTTTAAGTTCTAAGTTGTTTTTTGCTGGGCATTGTATTATTTGCAGGGATTAAGATTACCGTTCGTATTTGAGCCGGAAATAGCAATCAGCTGTGCACACATTTCCCGGCGATCAAGTTCAAACATGCACAATAACATAGTAGGTGTTGAACAGTAGCGAGCATACTCTTCTGGTTTAAAATAACTTCTAAACCGGATGGTCGTTTTGATTTGCCAACTACAATTTTCTCTGTGTCAGACTGGCCTACTAATCACCACCAATACCCTGCTGATCGATCATTAATCCGGATTAGCAGACCTTGTCTCGTGGCAAAACACGTGGGACAATTGCGCTTCACTTCACACGGTCAGCAGAAGATCAAAGCTTCGTGCGGATAAGTGAGTCAATTTTGTGTTGATTTGACCGGTTGGTTTGTAAAATTTACCGTCCGGGAACGGAAACCGCATATCCGTTATAGACAGTCACTTTCATAACGTAAGAGATAGTTTTTTTTATGAAAATTGACCGGAAGGCGAGGTTTCCGGACATTTGGGGTCCGGGTATCTTGGGTCTCACTGTATACAAGACACTACAATATACATTCAACATGAATGACTTGCTAACGAAAATGAAAATCGTGGTGGATGCAGATGGAGTTTTAAAACGAATTTTATTTGGGGTTTTTAAAACTATATCGTGACCGTCAGTAACGCTCAGGTGGTGGTAAACTGAAATAATAACCTGATGCAGTTTTGGCAAAACCAACTCAATTTTGCCTTATGGTGTGTGACGACAGAATCGGGTGTGACACTTGACTATGGAACAGACAAACAGAGTAAGGCAGTCACCTTGTTTCATGTTTATTATCAGACGAGACGGATTTTGAAGGAAATAGGTGCACTTCTTCCACAAGATACAGCGTGGATTATGATCGATAACCCGTATGATCGGCGTGCGTGCGAACGTATTTGCAGTGAATTTATGATTCCCATGAATAGAGATTTTCGCCTTCCCGGCGATACCTTCTCTCTGAATAAGAGGTGCTTTTTCTATTGACTCACGTATGCGTCTCTCACAGTGAGAAACAACTAATTATCTGACGCATATATGCATCACTCGTTGTGAGGAGCTGATTAATTTGTCGTACATATGCAGCTCTCGGTCTTAATGAGTTAATTGCACATATTTACCATGTTACAGAACATAACGCAAAGGGCTGTGTGTGAGCAGTAGAGTTCAATCTACACACTCTGCAGAACCTGTGAACACTGCTGTCACTGGGCATGCCTATTGCACAGTCAACAGGATGTATGTTAATAAAATATTAAGATGTTAATGTATGAATATAGCCAATATACAGGATTGATCACTGGAGGTACGAGTCTTAAAATTATACACAATCATAACTATTATTTTGTACTAATTTCGGGTGGTTTATTTTGTTCTAACTTTACATGTTTGATGGAAATTCATATTTGTTTTCATGTATGTTTTCAGACTCAATCTGCACCTTATTGGAGGGTTTGAAGATGTCAAGGGATTATCTCATCCATTGTCCTTAGAATTACTGAGTAAGTTGTTTTGTTTTGTTATTCCATTAAAAATATATTTTGCTGTAGATAATGCTCAAATATAATTGTCATGTCCTCACTTGATCCAAGGTACATGTTATATGTCTTCCCATTTGGCCTCGAGTCAGTGCCTTCTCCCCTGAAACTACTAGATGGGGAAAGTGGAAAGTTCACTCGAACAGTTCTGATGCAATTTCAGGATACCGGTAATTCTTACGAATACATCCTTCCAACACTTCATAGCCTTATTTCCTGAAACTTGTTTCTGATCCACAGGTTTGACTGGAATAAAACAACAACAAAAAACACAACAAAACATCATCTTGTGTTGTCTTTGTTCCAAGTGGTCTTCCCAAGCACTATCTATTGGAGTTATCTCCCCCTGATGTGTGCACAGGAACGTCATGATTTTGCTTGTGGCACACATGAGCACAAGTCTTTAATTGTTCTCTGTTAAATTTCTCTAAATTTCCCAGGTGTAAAAGTAAATTTCTGATTCAGTTTAAGATGGGTAAATGTAAAGGTAGCAAATATATTTCAGTGCCAAAAATTGTTCAGTTTGCTGTAAGCTTATGTTCCCAGTGTTCCTTTGTTTCCAAATGTGATCTCTGTCACAAGGTCATCAAAGAGAGACACTGTCTTCAGTTCACCAAGAGATTGCCCCTGATGACATGTCCAGTGGGGCTCTGCTATCAGCTTCTGGATACCAAGTTTACAGTGGCGGTGACAGCATTAGACAAGCTTTTAGACATGAAATAGGCTTTTTAGTTGAACCTTTCGGACACCAGGTTATTCTCTCTGGTATGTCTGGTTTCCATGAAGGATTTAACAGAACTCAGATTGATCTTGGTTCTGAAGATCCTCAACTGATAATACCTGAGACGACCACCCACGGAATCTAAGACAGACGATTTCTAAAGGGGACTCAATTATCTTGACATCTAACAGAAAAAAGTAACTGTGCAAAGCATAACATTGCATAAAACAACAGTTATTTGAAAAGTTATAAAATAACCCTAAATAAACATGTAACCAAGCATTTTGCTTGAAATTTGATGTCACATATAGCGCGTGGCATGTGCACTTTGTGCACAATTAACTTACTCACTTTTTGCATGCTTTTTGACACCTGAAGTTCACACACCTGATATTGAAAATTGAAAAATAGTTGAACATTCTCTAGCCTCTGAATATTGTTGACAACATGTTAATTTCAAACTAAATTGTGCTTACATCATACCACAGCTTACAGAAAATCAGCGTCTCCGTGCCATGGGTATGCTGGAGACTGGAATGGCCCAAAATGAAGTGGCCAGACATTTAGGTATCCATTGTAAAACAATCTCATGTCTATGGTTTTCAACATAATGGGAACATGAGATATTTGCCTCGGACCGTCTGTCCACGTGTGACGTCACGTTAGCAAGACAACCACTTTCGGCTGACCCATCTAAGGAATCAATTCCAGACTGCCAGTTTGACTGTTCCGACCATTCCTGGCTTATGTCCAATAAGTTCCAGAATTGTACAAAACCGTCTGAAGGAGCACAGCATTGGTCTGCAATACATCCAATTTTGCTCCAACATCATCGACAGGCACATCTTGCCTGGTGCAAACAGCATGTACGGTACAGGAGACAAGATTGGGATGGTGTTTTGCATAAAAGTGCAGAGATTATGGTCTCTTTGTTCTTCTTGTTCAATACATAGATTTTTTATAACATTTCAATGCACTTAATACACCATAGTATTCCAGATAGGCTGTGGAAATAGAGTATGTTTCTATGTTGTCTTTGTAAGACATGAACAAACTATCAGAATTAACAATATCACATATCTGGGAAACACCTTTTTTTATCCCCCTCAACACATTTGCGGGGGGTATTAAAATGGACTCCTTCTGTCGGTCCATCCATGCGTCCGTACACATTTGTCTTTTCCGGGGCATAACTTTAAAACCATTCAATATTTCTTCTCCAAACTTGGCAACAACTTTGACTTTGACTGAAATTGGTAGTAGTACTCTTTTCTGGAGCTGAACTCTAAAACCATTCAATGTTTCTTCACCAAACATGGCACATAGATAGATCTGGTGGTCTACTGGTGCCTTTTGGTAGTTTTGGATTTCTGAATAAAATATTTTTTGGCGTTTCCATGGCAACAAGTTGGACTTAGACTGAAATTGGTGGTAGTGCTCTTTTCCGGAGCAGAACTTAAAAACTGCACACTGTTTCATCACCAAATTTCATACATAGGTAGGGCCAGTGGTGAACTGGTGCCTTTTGGTAGTTTTGGATTTCTGAATAAAATGTTTGTTTGTTTTGTTGCATTTCCATATCAACAATTTTGGCTTCAACTGAATTTGGTGGCAGTGCTCCTTTCTGGAGCAGAACTTTGAAACCTTTCAGTACTCTCCTACCACTTTGGAGAGGCTTATTTATGGGACTTAAGCCCCCCAGCCCCCATTAAAAACGCCGAGGGTGTAGCGCGAGGCATCCTCCGATGTGACGCCCCTATTAAATATGAGTGATGATAGAGGAATATCATCATGTGGAATATCCCATCGATTCCCGCTGAAAGGATATTGCGCGAATGGTTTGACCCCACCAAAACGCAGTCTATTTTAGATCACGTAGGGTCTACCGATGATGAATTACAATGGCTGATCACGTTGATATGCAAACTGCTTTTAAACAATGATGATGTACTTATTCGCCGCCATTTAGCGATGCATGATATCACCCCGATATCATCGTCAAACTTAAAAATCGGCCAGTTGAAATAACGCATCAGCATGATTGTATTCTTCGATTGTTTTACGACTTAATTCTTCGTGATAAGCAATTTCATCATCAACGAGCTAAGGCTTTCGTGCTGTCGTGTAAAATAGAAACATCGTGTTATTCGGCAACGATCGATCGTTGTAAAAAAAGTACTGCGATGATCATACGCAATTGGGATGCTATTGAGTTCATGCATCGGTATTCATCTACATGCGGCGAGGTGAATGCTAATCTCGATCCCCTGTCCGAAACGTGTCAGTTATGGGGTCCATATTTAATCGATCAATTACTCGATCATCAATTATCCCTGCTAAAAATAGGATTTCTTCCCACGATTCAATTAAATCCACGAGCGAGTTACGAAGAACGACAAGACATTATTTCACGGAATCAACAAAAAATTGTTGAAAAAACGTCTAAAATGTATCGCTGTCCCAGTTGTCATGCTCGAGAATGTGTGTATCGCGAAGTTCAAAGGCGGTCTTTAGATGAGCCCGCTACAATTTTTTGTACGTGTAAAAACTGCGGACAGGAATTTAAGGGCTAAGAAACACATTAGTCAATCAGGACATTTTTTAGGTTATGTTCACATCTACAAAGCAGTTTAACGTGAATCTTTTATGGTATCTTTGTTCTTGGTCAGGAAGGTTTGAATGATTTGTTGTCGACCCTGTTCTATGAGCTTTTTATTCTCGTCTTCGCTGATGCCAGCAGTTATCCAAGTCTTGGTTCGAATCGCTTTTTTCATTCTGTGGTATTTCGCAATTTCCGACATCACCAAACGAAACTCTTCCTCGGAGATTTTGCTATCGGTGATCGCGGTGGAAATGTGATCGTCGATCATGTTTAGCTTGGCTTCGGCTAGAACCCTGATCTCATCGTGTTTTAAGGCCTTCCGTTGCAGACGCGAAATGAATTTCAGGGTTACTCCCCGCCAACCCCGATACTCCGGTGGCTATTTCCATCCCAAGACGATGGGTGCGGCCATGATGGTGGATGATAAGCCAACGCCTGCTACGCCCTATCCCATGCCAGCTGCCATGAGAGATGTGTCCACACCGTCGGTGACATTGACAGCTCGATGGTACTTTTTGTGTAATCCGAGTCGCACGTCGCATTGGTGTTTTATTTCACCAATCTGTCGAAACCGAAATCCATCCACGGTTTCGAGCTTTTGAGCCACGTCTTCCATCGCCGGATACAATCCCATCTCGAGTATATGACGAGTTTAGGAAATTAGCTTCAATTGGTCCGCCGTCAATCTTTGTTTAATATATTTATAGCTAATGAGGTTGAGATTGGCATATAAATAAAGCCTTGATATTATAACGGGTTTCGGGGTATCTGGAATACGAACAAAAAACTCCCACCAGGTTGGTCGTGGGAAATGTTCCAGGTTGTATATAAATACGGCAACTTTGATGGTTATTTTCGCGACCCCAGCGTATGTTTACCCCATCCAAAAGGATCACTTCATTTTCGGGGGCATTTCCAAGATAGCATTCTATAATCAATGTTGAATGTAATTTCATACTGAAATCTGGATTTAAAAAATCAAATTGATATGGGGGAATACCAAATATCAGTGCAGCTTGTTTATGGGTGGGGGCTAACATAGAGCCACTATGATGTGGTATTTGCAAAAGTTGTATCAAATGAGAGTGGAGTGGCAGTTGTCCAAATAATCCCTTTATTTTTTACTTCGATAACGTAACCATTATCATCTAAACTTATGTAGGGGTAGATGAATTTAAGGTTAATAAACCAGTCAACTTTTAGCATCACCTCTCGTCGTCGGTACACATTGCTTTGTAAGTGCAATACGTACAAGGCGTCTTCTGTCCCGGGTTCGTCGAATCCTCGTGTGTCTCCGAGATCGGATAACGCGATGGTAGCCTGGTTTGACACGTTACTCATGGTGGTTATACTCATATTAGGGAAGAGCTTTCAATTGATTCTCTGATAATTTCTCGAGCGTAAACCTTAGGCTGATGAGATGGATTTTTTTAGGTAAAAAAATCTTCGTGAGGGCGATTTTATTATCCTCGGTAATCTCGACTTCTTCGAGACTCGCGTAAGCGTTGCCGTCTTTCTGTACATAAATGGAGCACACTTGATTTTGATGTTTTTGAGGCCAACGGAGGTATACTCCCGTTATAATTTCAATATTTTGGTTGGGTGATGCCTCCCCGAGAAAGAGTTTGATATAGAGCGTTG